ACAGACACTTTCTCGTTAACACCCACATGAAACACTCCAGGGGCTGAGATTAAGAATCTGCACACAATGGTGAAAAATAACATTTACTGTATCCTTTATGGCTATATTTTGTATTCATCAGCCTCTGTGCCTATAAACATCTGCAATCCTGCATATTTCATCTGCTTACATTGTGACAAAATGTCATAAACACATAACATTTGCTGAAAACATGTTGATTATTATGTTTAAGAATATAAAATCTTATAAAACAGCTTATATTAACCCTCTTTGCACTGAACACAGAAAGGTTGGAATCACATTCAATTTTTACATAATGTAGATTCATGCAGCTAGTTCTACATTTACCCATCGTCCAATGAAGAAGCTGATCCCTCAGTCAAGATCAGGAGCAGTATTGAAAAGACGTAGCACTCCATTGTGAAGCTCCTATTTCTTTACCTGCTCTGACACCAGCTTCTCATTAACTGAGATTTTGGTATTTACCCGCCCCTGTATTTCTCAATCGTTGGATCTCTCAGTGCCCTCCCTCTGTTTTTTCTTTTTTTTTTTTTTCCATGACGTCTTTCAAAGAAATATCACTCCTCAGAGTGATGGCTCATGGAGCATGTGCTAACTGGTAATACATAAATTGAGAAAATCATCATGCTGTCAGATATAACATATACAGATGTGTGACATATTCTTTAGTTCAATAATATGTAAATTTATACATACATAAAAATACACAATCTAGACAGATTAATATGAAACGTGAGGACAACAAAGCAGATCAGATCATAGTGAACTGACAGATGCATATCAGACTACAACAGGTTCGATTTTATAAAAGTCAGTTTTATATCACTGCTGCCTGGCGTGCAGCAGGGAAAGTGCTTTTGTTACACAGTGTGGAACCATTTGCTCATCGGTCACTGTGAGTCAGACAGATTTTTCCCATTTCCCAAAGTCTGGGCTCTTTGTGTATTGGATGGAGTCAACACTGTTTACTGGTTCAGGAATGATTTAGAGTGAAGTAGAGCTCAGTAAAATCTGTTAACTTAATTACAACCATTTGTTTGGTGATTCAGATGTTTTAATATATCTCATTAGTTGTAACTAAAGCTGCTTGTTTAACAGATCATAAATCTCTGGTGTAGTTTACTTGTACTTTTATAACCTATTGTACGGGTGTAGTCATCAGTGAACGGATCGTAAGCTGAATGGAATTTAAAAAGCTGCCAAACTGTGTTCTGCTCTGGTAAAATGGAACAGATTTAAGATTTATGACACAGATTTCATCAGATTGTGGATAATAGTAACAAATATATTCAAAGACAAAGTCAGAAACATTTTTCTACATGAACAGCTTGGTTTTCCATCCGTCCATATGTCCACCCATACATCCATCTATACATCCCACTCTTATGAATGTAATATCTCAAAAACGTCCTTAGGGAATTTCTTCAAATGTGGCAAAAATGTCCACTTGGACTCAACAATGAACTAATTCGATTTTGGCGGTCATAGGTCATAAGCCAAGGTCACTGTGACCTTGTCTATCTCATTCTTATGAAGGTGATATGTCAAGAACACCTTGGGGGATTCCTTCGAATTCGGTACAAATGTTCACCTGGACTCAACGATGAACTGATTAGATTTTAGTGGTCAAAGGTCAAGATCACTGTTACCTTGCATCTGTCTTATTCTTGTGAACGTGATATTTAAGAACACATTGAGGGCATTTCTTCATATTTGACACAAACGTCCACTTAAACTTAAAAATGTACTGATCAGAATCTTGCAGTCAAAGGTCAAGGTCACTGTGACCTCCTCACGAAACATGTTTTTGGCCAAAACTCAAGAATTCATGTTACTGTGACAAAACTGCATATAAATGTCTGATAGAGTATAATGATGAAGTGACAAAAGGTCAAAAGTCATCTTTACTGTGACATCATAATGTTCTGCATGAACACTTTTTTTGGCCATTACTTAACTTCATATCTCAAGAAAAGAAGGGGAGACATTTTGTTGGATACCGAATTGGCAACACTAATCTTGGATGCCCACTGTAAAACTGTGCTGATAGTATAGATCTTCTGTGCTGTCGGGTTGAAGATGTACAGTACAGGCCAAAAGTTTGGACACACCTTCTCATTCAATGCGTTTTCTTTATTTTCATGACTATTTACATTGTAGATTCTCACTGAAGGCATCAGAACTACGAATGAACACATGTGGAGTTATGTACTTAACAAAAAAAGGTGAAATAACTGAAAACATGTTTTATATTCTAGTTTCTTCAAAATAGCCACCCTTTGCTCTGATTACTGCTTTGCACACTCTTGGCATTCTCTCAATGAGCTTCAAGAGGTAGTCACCTGAAATGGTTTTCCAAAAGTCTTGAAGGAGTTCCCAGAGGTGTTTAGCACTTGTTGGCCCCTTTGCCTTCACTCTGCGGTCCAGCTCACCCCAAACCGTCTCAATTGGGTTCAGGTCCGGTGACTGTGGAGGCCAGGTCATCTGCCGCAGCACTCCATCACTCTCCTTCTTGGTCAAATAGCCCTTACACAGCCTGGAGGTGTGTTTGGGGTCATTGTCCTGTTGAAAAATAAATGATCGTCCAACTAAACGCAAACCGGATGGAATGGCATGTCGCTGCAGGATGCTGTGGTAGCCATGCTGGTTCAGTGTGCCTTCAATTTTGAATAAATCCCCAACAGTGTCACCAGCAAAACACCCCCACACCATCACACCTCCTCCTCCATGCTTCACAGTGGGAACCAGGCATGTGGAATCCATCCGTTCACCTTTTCTGCGTCTCACAAAGACACGGCGGTTGGAACCAAAGATCTCAAATTTGGACTCATCAGACCAAAGCACAGATTTCCACTGGTCTAATGTCCATTCCTTGTGTTTCTTGGCCCAAACAAATCTCTTCTGCTTGTTGCCTCTCCTTAGCAGTGGTTTCCTAGCAGCTATTTGACCATGTAGTCTCCTCTTAACAGTTGTTCTAGAGATGGGTCTGCTGCTAGAACTCTGTGTGGCATTCATCTGGTCTCTGATCTGAGCTGCTGTTAACTTGCCATTTCTGAGGCTGGTGACTCGGATGAACTTATCCTCAGAAGCAGAGGTGACTCTTGGTCTTCCTTTCCTGGGTCGGTCCTCATGTGTGCCAGTTTCGTTGTAGCGCTTGATGGTTTTTGCGACTCCACTTGGGGACACATTTAAAGTTTTTGCAATTTTCCGGACTGACTGACCTTCATTTCTTAAAGTAATGATGGCCACTGGTTTTTCTTTAGTTAGCTGATTGGTTCTTGCCATAATATGAATTTTAACAGTTGTCCAATAGGGCTGTCGGCTGTGTATTAACCTGACTTCTGCACAACACAACTGATGGTCCCAACCCCATTGATAAAGCAAGAAATTCCACTAATTAACCCTGATAAGGCACACCTGTGAAGTGGAAACCATTTCAGGTGGCTACCTCTTGAAGCTCATGGAGAGAATGCCAAGAGTGTGCAAAGCAGTAATCAGAGCAAAGGGTGGCTATTTTGAAGAAACTAGAATATAAAACATGTTTTCAGTTATTTCACCTTTTTTTGTTAAGTACATAACTCCACGTGTTCATTCATAGTTTTGATGCCTTCAGTGAGAATCTACAATGTAAATAGTCATGAAAATAAAGAAAACGCATTGAATGAGAAGGTGTGTCCAAACTTTTGGCCTGTACTGTATGTGCAGCATCCATGTTTTCACAGACATGGATTTGAACTGTAAGTGCAACTTAAAGGGTTCACAGAGGCATTCAAGTGCAAGGCAGCAAATCTAGTTTGGTTAAATTTAGAATAAACCAAAACTGTAAATGCATTATATTGTTACATCTTTATAGAAACTTTACTTCACTGTTACAGGTCTGGGGTTAATATTAACACCAATAAACATCCATATCAAAGTTTTTGGAAGAATTTATTTTGCAATACAAGAACTAGAGCTGTTGAGTTTTGTTGTTGTTTTGAATTTGAGCAAAAGTATACACACAGTTATACACATAATTAAAGGCCCTGTATAATCCAAAGACATATTTGGCACATGTAAGGAACATCTCTGTCAGCCTCCATTTTGTGTAATCCTAACAAGAGCTCCATGTGTTTAGTTTACTTCTTTCTTCAAAATGATATTATATTAATACCTAAATCAATGTGTCACTCAGGGTTGGCAGATTGTCATAGCTGCAGAGGTATCGCGTCGTCCCAGCGCTATCCGTCACAAATTCTAGCCGACCAATGGAGAAGCAAAACCAGAATCAGCATTGGTTCAGCTTTTGATCGTTGGTGTCAGCTGAAGGCAGAAAAAGGGCTAAAAAGCCATGCAGAGGTTGCCGCTTTCCTTCTGGACAGGTAAGCTAATGTTTGCTAACTAACGTAGCAGGGTTGTAAAAACATATACACAGCAAGGAGCATCACCAGTCCTCAGAGATTCGTGTTCGTGCAGCCGCTGCTTCACCCTCGTCTGCTCGTTGGCCCTCTCTCTCTATCCTCATCTGCTCTTCAATTTGTAGGAGCTCCTCATCCATATACTCGGGCTCAAATAAGTACCGGCGGCCATCGTAATAAAAGGGCTCATCCTCGTTCTCGAAATCGGGTAAATATGCAGCCATGATACCGATGCAGTAAAACTCTGAACTGTACTCCGGGACAACCAGCACCACTCTGTGTGGCGCTCAGCATGGCTCCTCTGTTTTCTTCAGGCAACAAGCAAAGCTCTCGCGAGATGACGTCACAGCCGGGAGGAGGTGAAGGGTCAGGGAAACGCTTAGTATGCTATTTACAGAGATAGCACTGGCGATCTGAACCGGTCAGTGGCGAAAAAAAGCACTTTTAATGCGCAAACTTATACGGGACGCATTTGCCCCCATATCTACCTCGCATCCGCCTCCCTCAATACTGAACCAATTTTAAAACAACTTGTACCTATGAATCATATGCACACATACGCATGGGGAAATAGGACCCAGGTTGAAAAATACCGAAGTTATCCTTTAATAATCAACGTCAACAAATAGTATAAAATCCAGTACGGGTCCTGCAAAGTCAAACTTTTTCACAACAGTTTAAATGCAGTCTCTTCTTTGCACACAGCTCCATTACATTTAATGAATTCCCATGTTGATCTGCGTAAGCAGTATCTCAGTGCGTATTGATGTTGTTTCACTATCATGACTATGAGTATACAAGGTGAAAAAAGAGCTCTAAACTAAACTCTAAATCTAAGCTGAAAATGTTAGTCAAATGAAACAGATTTGTCTGTTTCACTGTCTGCAGCCATTTATCTTGTAATCATCTGTAAATGTATTAAACCCAGCGCAGGCAGCTTTACGTGCAGATTTTTTACATTTTTTCTCTGTAGGCTTTCTTTCAACCCAGGTGTTTGACTCCAACAGATACTGCATCCTACAGAAAGAGGGAGAGAATGAACAGAAATTGAAATAGTCAGTGTAAAATTGTACTTTTATTAGTATTGAAATAGTATTGATACTTACTCTCCATATGAGTCGGTTGTAGAGCCATCTTTGCCCATGATGAGATACTGTTTTCCCAGTTCTAGCTGTCCTTTACAGTGACGCCTCTTAGCAAACACTCGAACAGAATTCTCACTCACATGGATATCTTCATCTGGCAAATAGGTGATTGTCATTATGTTAAGATGGATCGTCTAAGCATAAACAATCAAAGTTCAGTGTTACAGCATCTGCTTTACTTACGGGATCTGAGGACCTCGTTTACTTTAATTTTGTACAGCTCAAAGTTACTCTTCATGGAAACACTGAGGACTTCAACAATGTATGCTGAAATAAAACAAAGTGTCACTATATGAAAGTAAAGGTTTGAGATTTTGATAGTCAAGGTAATATTAGTTTACACCATAACGTCTTGTGTGCAGTACTGACCGTAATCTACTGTAGGGTAGAAGCAAGCATGTTGTAAACGGTGATTCTTTACGATTCTTTGACCTCTTCCCAGTTGAAATGTATTTTGTATTTTATGACAGGGTTCTAAAGGAAAGATGAATATGATAATTTTAATTATTTACACAAACCTGAAGTGTAAAGCTACATTTATTAACAGGTGTTTGTCGGTATGGATCTCAGAGTAATGGCCTACTTTCTGCACACTGGCACACATCCTCTGAACACAGTTTGGAGACCACCTTGCTTCTTTGGGGGGCAGAGTAGAACACGGTACACTTTCTGTCTGCAAGGAAAGCACGAATAGTTCATAAATGCCTGGTAACTTATCCAAACGTCCCCTCTTTCGTGACAAAATAATTTTAAAAAATTGCAGAAATATGAAATGAAAAGCTTACTTGGTTCATAATAATCATAGAACACAGCTGGAGCGGGCTGTAGAAGGCCAATTGGTACTCTCTGTATAGCATCAAAACTAATGCATTCCTCTGATTGGAGGAGCTAGAGTGAGAGCAAAAAACCCTTTTAGTACTGGATATGTAAAATTTGTCTGTATGTAAAAAGATTTCAGCCTTACCTCATTGAAGTAGAGCAACACTCTTCCATAGGAGACCTCATAATGGGAAATGTACCGTTCAGGTTCGTCTTTTAGCTACAAGGAGACCGTTTTTAACTATATTATCTTTTCAAATTTTTTATGATTTTCTCATTGTTATGAATCCAAAGGTTGACTTAGCTTAGAAAAAACACTAGAAATGGGAAAACAGGTAGCCTGGCTCTGTCCAAAGGTAACAAAATTTGCGTTTATAAACTATAAAGATGACTCATTAGCACGTATCCTGTACATTTAATCCTTACAAAAAACAAAGTTTAAAAACAGCAGATCGCTGTTTTACAGGGGGTTGTCGGACTAGGAGACGGACTAGGAGTAGTAACTTCCTGGAGTCTCTGATGTTTGCCAGGTAACAAGTAGTTAACTTTTTACATTTATATGTATACAGGCTTCCACTTTTAACTTTCTACCCAAGAACCAGATATTTTCTGACATAGTCACTAATCTTTTGCACCAATTTAGCCTGGAGACTTTCCATCCAAATTCCAACTGTCAATCACCTAAGCTTTTCTATTGAGGAAATGAACGAGACAGGCAACTGAAATCGCTTCTCCCACTTTGCAGTGATGATGACAATGATGAAGAGGAGGTAGAGAGAGCTACTAACCCTGTCCAGGTTTTGAGTTACAGCCTCAAATCCACTTAGCAGTGTGATGTCAGCAATGGCCATTCCTGTGAGATTGGTGTTTGGGCTGTGACTACAAACAGGAAAACAATGAAAAATACAGGTTTGGAGACGCACTGATTTATGACTTTCTTATGCAAAGTAGGGATGCACTGAATATTCGGTAACCAGATATATTCGGACGAATATTGCAAAAAAACACACATTCGGTATTCGGTGGAATAAGTTAAAAGCAAGGCCGAATAATAGCGGCGTGTTTTGATAACGCAATCAAACAGCGTGCCGTGACGGGCTGAGTAAAATGTCGGCAGTGTGGCGATCCGTCCATCATGGCACTCGCATTTGCGACTAAAAATAGTTTTGAGCGAGCAAAATATGCTTAAATCATTCAGCACGCTGTGCGAGCAGCCTACAGATTTCAACCACTAGCAGAAACGAAAGGCGAATCCCATTGGTTGTGGGTTGAACGGGAGTCACAGACACAGACAGTAATGTATTCTTGTCAAATACGGCAGCCATCGGCTTACCGGCGACGGGAAGTCAGCTCCAATAATATCCTCTTCTTGGCATCATGACTACCCAAAAGTACCTGAACACAGACCGTACGTGATGTGTCAGAGGAGAAACGAGCCATTCACGGCCCATAAACCTCACCGCACTTTAGGGACTGTTCTTTACTTATGAAGGGGAGGAGGGTGGCTGGTTGATTCTTATTTTATTTTTTGATCCCCCCTATGTTCATCACTCATTGATGCTGTTTTTGAAGTATGAATAAGTCAATAAGTAATTTATTCCATTGAAATATTGTTGATGTATTATAGAAAAGTGATTTATCTTTTTATAAATGACAAAAGGCACATCTGCCTCATTTTCGCTGTGGTATTGTGATACTACTCAGAACATGATATTTTCACTGGTATCGTACAGTGGGATCCAATTTTGGTACTGTGACAACACTAATCTGGAGGGGGTTCATCTGCAAAAACTAATGAAAAACTAAACAACAATATTCGGTATTTGGTACTCGGTATTCGGCCCAGCGTTTAATATTATTCGGCTTCGGCCACAAATTTTCATTTCGGTGCATCCCTAATGCAAAGTTTGTCTCATTAATGCTTATAAAGAGCAAATGTGACATGAGTCTCATTCAGCTAACCTGACACAGATTGTGTAGATGAGAGTCTCATCTGACTTTACATCGTTATCAACATCTCTCCTGTTTCGGGTGCGAGCATCAAACCGCTCATTCGCTGATCGCGGCACTCGCATGTCCTTCTCCACCACGTCCTCCTCCACCACCTCATCGTTGTTATCGTAGTCGTCATAGTACTCATAATTTTCTATGACCTTAGCTTGAGAGACAGAGATTAATGTAACTATGTCAGCACTAGTGTGGCTGTGACTTGTTATCAGTGACAAAACCTCACCAGTGTACTTCACTTTTCCCTCCACTGTGACTCTGATAGACACTTGGTCACAATCGTCCTTGGGGTCCATTTGATGGTAAGCTTTTAGAATCTGCCAAAGAGAGGTGACTTACTGTAAATCATGTGATCTTTAGCATATCTACAGACATCAATCAAACTTACTTTCAGCTTGGTATCGCCTTTTCCTGTCAACTGCACATTTATGTTGCTCCCTGAAAATTTCTGGGGCAAAAGACACACACACACACACACACACACACACACACAGACAAGAAGTCATCTAAGAATGAGGTTGAATATTTATGTGTGTTTAAGTGTAATTCTGAAAATACTCTATGATACCTTGAGGTTTGTTTCCACCTTCTCCTTCTTATTTTCCAGTGCAAGCCTTACAATGTCTCTCTTTCCTTGGACTGTGAACTCTGCAATCAGATTTGCATCAGGACTGATGGACCTCTTTAGCTCATACTCTGCAAGGGCTTCCAAAGCCATGATGGTATCCTGAGCACAGTCATCACAAATTAATAGCATTTCAAAATATACAATTGGTAACTATTATATGTATGTAGGTATGTATATATGTATATATATATG